GACACATACTATACTAACTCTATTTCAGCCATTATAGACACCTTGCATACCGCAATGTTGTAAGGTGGTGCTGGGGATACCTGGGCCAGCACATACAGGTGGTAATACCGTCCTGCATGGTCTCTCGTATCAGACAGGAGTTCCCAGAGGATGGACCGTAGAGGATTCCTGCCTCCACTGCACTTTTAATATCAAGGGAACAGTTGATGCAGAAAACCACAAGAAGAATGCTAGGCATTTTTATTAATGTAACCCAGCTTCAGTTCTAAGGCATTTCATGGATTTATGTGATGCAAAATGTTTGTTATAAAAAATATTTTTTACACAAATACACTTTACAGTTTTAGGACTAAAAAATATACATAAAAAAGTAGCATGATACAATCTTAAAATGAATCACAAGTGCGTAATAAAAATATTAGAGAAGTTTGAAGCTGTTAAAGCTGCAGTACTTGCTATGATTACTGCGTATTGGATAAAACTGCCTCAATCAGTCACTAGTGCATAATACCAGATGTCATCTGACAAAATGAGACATTCTGTGCTGTGCACATTTTTTGTAGATCAAATATACATTTACAGTAGCTTGCAAAGTTGTAGCATTTGCAAATGTTTAAGTTGCTAATACAAAAAAAACTTATAGGGGAGGGGATGATAGTTTATCCTTTGTCATGCACGACAAGTGCCCAGCCCACATGGGCTTACAAAACCACAAAATAAATAAACTCACACAGGTGGACAGATATATACACATTCTTAAAACAAAATGTATCCTCTTCCAGAGGTGCCTGGCTTTTAACAAATATTGTGCTAAGTGAAATACAACAACGTTTCAATAAATACTGGATTTTCTGTCCATCGGCTAGATAAACTAAATTTTAATAAACATTAATAACGGTATTAAACAGTTCATTTGTCAAAGTAGTATATAAAGAACAACAAACAAAAAGTGCATCTGATTTTCAACCTCACCCAAATGACACAAACAACAAACGGTTTTCCTCTTGAGTTGAGCTAAAACGCAGTTTCCATAACCAGAGACAAAGTGCCAGATGTACCGTAAACTGTGCACAAATTGACCTTTAAGGTTTACATAGGTTCCATATTCCATAAGGCTCAGGACCATAACTGTCCTTTATCTGAATGTAGGTTTGTAATTTAGGTTTTCATTAAATATTAAATGACCATTTCTGTTTTTAAGCTTAAAAGTAAAACTTTAAATGAGTTGAATCATACCTCTTAACTCACTTAAATAAATATAATTAAAATATAAATATAATTAAAATCTGCATCTTCAAACATTTTCTCAATTTGTTTAGGAGTATTTATATGCACACCTAAACAAAATAATGCAGGGCTCTGCACTGATATTTCTCACTGTAAGGTTGACAGTAACCCCAGACTCCTGCTCCGTAATTTAATACTGGGCAAACACAAGCTCTGTACAAGTCAGTCTACGTGCTGCAATAGATGCCATCAGTRGAGGGAAAGACTTTTCCTTTTCCATCAACGCAGACCAGTCTGTAAAAGACAATAAAACATAATTATTGACCAGTTGAAATGTTTTTTTAATTCCTTATCTATCTTCATGACATAGGAGTGTTTAGTGTCACCTGCTGGTTGAAAGTATGAATTGTTACTATTTTAAAACATCAGGCATAAGAAAAATTTAATACAAATTTTCAATATGTACCATTTTTTCAGACCTTAATATAATATACCAGAAATTAAAAAAGAAACCCATTTCAGTAGGTATCTTGTAAGTAATCGAGTGCTGAAATGTAAAACTTAGTTTTATGCTGAAAATAGTAAGCTGTGTGGTAATTCTAAATATTCTGATGCGTTTCTCACCTCGTGTTTTATAGAAGAATCGTGACCTGTGTCTGCTCACTGCCTCCTTCTTGTCTGGTTTCAGAAACTCTGCACATAGCTTCTGTGGAACAGGAACTTGGTCTGAGAAGTCCTGGTACGGCTGAGGGTCTTCCACAACATGATCAAAAAGCAGACCCATCAGATTGTCGATGTAGCCTTTATGAACAAGAGAATGATATCAAAATTTTTGTCACTTCAGTAGAAAA